CCCCTGCGCCGTCGCCGTCCGCCGCCGCTTCCCCTTTCCTTCTCTCCCTCCTCCCCTTCCTTCCCCCCCTCTCCTCTTCTTCCTCTTCCTCCCTCCCCCCTCCTCCCCTCCCTCCACCTCCCCTCTTCGCCGCTGCGGGGAGGGCCCGGCCCCTCGTCGGGCTATAGCTCCCCCCCGTCCCCCGCTTTGGTTTTAGCCGGGGAGGCGCCCGCGGGGACTCCGCTCTGTCCAATTAGAGGGACCTGGTGGCCGCCTCTTCCCGGGGGCGGGCTCCTCTAGCGGCGCAGACCGACGGGCCGGGGCGGGGGTGCTGGCGGGATCCCGGTTTCTTCCCTTGTTTCTCGGCGCCCCGGGGTGGCCGCCGCGAAACGCTCGCGTCCTACGTGGGCCCCTGCCTCAGTGGTCTCGCCCTCCGTCCTCACCTGCGGGAGCTGCCTCCGGCTGGAGCGCACGCCGAGCCCTCCTGCAGCCCAGGTCGCACGCCTCCCGCTCGGGGCCTCTGTGGCCGGGCAGGGACCTGCCTGGCGGCTTTCGAGGGGTGGGACAGCGATGGATTTCTGATACACGTCGAAACACCCCGCGAGCGTTTCAAGCCAGGGGAGGGCAGGAAGGCGGGGCCGCGGGGCCGCTTCGTCAGACCCTGGGTTCCTGGAGAGACAATGAGCTGACCTGGGTGAGCGTGTTACTCTGCTGCGAGCCTTCCTCCTCCTGCCGACTGAAAACTAAACGCAGAGCGCTCGCTTGGCAGCTTGGGGGGCTTCCCCGGCAGTCTCCAAAGGTGCCGCCTTCCTCTTAGATCCAGCCACGTTTGATGGGAATCCCGCCAGCCTCAACACCCACGTTTTCAAGCCTCCCTTTGACAGGGGGAGAAGGCCAGGACCCTAAACTTTCTCCCAGGCCGGGTGAAAGTGGTGAGGGATGGCTGCTCCCTGCTCGGTTGGGAGATGGGCCGCCCTGGCTTCCAGCACCAGGTGGAATCACTCACCAGGCCCCGCTGTGTGACCTCGGGAGAGCCTCTTAACCTCTTTGTTTTCCAGGTTCCACCAGGGAGAAGAATAACAAGCATGATCCACGTGTCGTCAAGTGCTCCAGGAGGTTGAGTAGGGGTCCTGTGAACGTTTGCGGAGTGAACAGGTGAGAGCTATGTGCTCCCTGGAGGGTTCTGGAAATCCAGCAATGACTGGCCTCTTTGAGGACTCCATGCTGGGTGTGAGTGTGTCGGCAGACAGGCACAGCCACAATGATAAACAGTCGTGAAAACAGCGGCCTTGCTCTGGGTCCTGAAGAGAAAGAAGCCACAGAAGAGCCTCTGTCCTCACCGGAACTCGTGTCTACCTGAGGCAGGCTTGTTCACTGGCTGGCTGCATGTCCTAGAGGGCAGGCCTCACCCACCAGTGCACCTGGACGCAAATGTGGGTGTGTCCCCAGGGATGAGAAGTATCCATATGAGGCCCTTTCCAGGAGGCACCCCAGACTGCCCCCTGGCTGATGTCAGGCACAGGCCAGGGATCAGCGGAGACCCTGGCGTGTGTCAGAGGCCTCATTCGGAAGGGTAAGTGGGTATCAGACCAACAAGCTGGGGTTGGGGAGCACTCCAGGAGGTGGGAAGGGACACGGCACATTGGAGGGGCAGCAAGGGGCTGGGGTGGGGCCCAGAGACCGAGGGGCAGGGGGACCGGCTGTAAGAGGCCATTTAAGCTGTGGTGGGGAGTTGGGTCTTTGTTGGAAGAGTGGTGTGAGTCCTCACTCAGGGATTTCTGCTCAGGAAAGAATTTTGAAAAGACCACTTTGGCCACTGCTACCCATGCAGTCGGGAGTCTGGGGGGCACTTCCTCTTGGGTCTCCCTCCAGATCTGGCAGAGCTGCTGGGGCTTGAACTACAGTGGTGGCAAGGGACTTGGAGAGAGGTGGGTAATCCCACATGTACCTGGAGGCTGACATGACTGGCCTGGAGCTCTGGGACTCAGAACTGGGGGAGGGGGAGGACACATTGAGTGGGAGGGCACTGGAGGCCCCTGGGGGCATGTCAAGCAGGCAGTGGCGAGGACGTGGAAATGGACTTGAGGGTCAGAAGAATACATAGTAATTGCCACCATAGGCATGGATGGGATTACCTTAAAGCCAGCGATGCTGATGTCATCGATCAGGGTTGGGCCTGTGCTCTTGGATGTCTATACACCCCAGCCAGGAGCGAGGGCTCTGGGCCAGTGAATCAAGAACCTCCAGTAGCATCTACCTCCGCTGAGAAGGGCTGGCGGCAGGAGTGGGCAGGGGATGGGGTGGGCATCTGTCTGGAGTCTGAGACCATTAAATGGCACCCAGTGGAAGGCTGCCTGCTGCGGACAGTGTTGGACAGCCAGTCGCAAATCCTGGTGAAATTAAAAAATTAAAACGCCGGAGCTGCAGGGAGAGATCGCGTTTTCTGTGTGATGCTGCCACCTGCTGGCTGCCTAGGAGACTGGGGTGTTTCGGAGCCCCGTGGACACAAGATCAGGCCCTCTTGGATTCTGCTCAGGGGGCTGGGGCTGTTGCACAGGTGCCTGCATGGTGGAGGAGGAGCAGCAACCTGCCATCTCTGCCACTGAGTTCTCCTCCGTCCTGGGGTTGGATGCTGTCCCGCTGATGCAAGAGGCAGGTGAGGTGAGGGTCCAGCTGGTGTCTCACTGATGGAGCAGAGCCCGTGCCTTGTCCCACTTCCCGCCACCTCTCATGGGCAAGGGCAGTGGAAGCTGTGAAGCAGCTGCACTAAGATCTCCAGGGCGGTTACTCAGCCTTTCTGGGCCTCAGTTTCCACATCTGTAAAGTGGGGATTGTCTTTGTAACATATGTGGTCTTACCGCAGCCCTGTGGAGTGGGTCTGTCACTCCGGACTTGCTTCTCTGAGGCTGTTCTGAACCCGTGGCTGGCTCCCTTGCTGCACCTGTCATCAGCCACAATGTGACGTGCAGCGTGGTCCTTCTGTGTGCCCCTGGCTTCCCTGCACTCTGGCCCTGGGGAGTCCATATGCCAATCACATATCAGGCCTACGTGGGAGCCCAGTGAGTGCTGCTGGCGGTCCCTGCTGCTGGGTTTTGGTTGCCATATCTGGGGGAAGGGAGGCCCGGCAGGCCGGGTTGGAGGCTGACGTGGAGCACCGGGGACTCACCAAGCAGCCAGGTGGGAGTGGCCGGGAAGCAGCGCGGCTGTGGGGTCGGTGGCTGCTGTGTGGCCTGGGGCAAAAAGAAAATATCATGGCCACCCAGAAGAGCCCACCCCATCCCAGAGACAGTGGCCTCGAAATGCCCAGGCTTCTACAGTGTGCAAGCTCCAGAGAACCAAGGTGGGAGAGGAGGAGAGCCCTGCAGAAGAGGCCGCTGCTTCAAACCCCAGCGGGCACCGTTTGGCTCTTTTGGGATGACACCCAGACTCTGGGGTTTGAAGACCCCATGGCTTTATGGGGAAAATGAGAACTCCCTACCAGAGTTCCCACAACACGGGGTACTTATGTTCCTCACGTCATCTATGATGTCCTGGCGGTTTTCTTGTCTGACGTCACTGACAAGTGGCATATGCTGTGTAAGAAGCCACACCGCAGGGATGGACAGGGGCATAACTTCGTATAGCATACATTATACGAAGTTATACGAACGTCATCTATGATGTCCTGGCGGTTTTCTTGTCTGACGTCACTGACAAGTGGCATATGCTGTGTAAGAAGCCACACCGCAGGGATGGACAGGGGGAGCTTAAACGACACTGGCTGAGAGACGCCTAAAGAGCGTTTATTTCAAACCTCTTCGTGTGTCTGTTGCCTTTCTTACATCCAGACCTTGCTTTGGGGCTGTTTTTCTGTGTGGCGTTTCCTAAGTGTGAAAGCTTGAACGATGTTGCACTCCTCAGGGGTGAGGTCGCTGGACGAGTCTGAGGCACAGCGTGGGGTCAGTTAGGACAGCTTCCAGCCTGGCCTGGGCAGGGCCATGCTTGGCTGGTCCTTTAAGGCTGGATTAGCCATGAG